CAGACTGTACCAGTTCAGTAGAACTAGGGCTGTTCTATAACTCAGACTGTACCAGTTCAGTAGAAGTAGGGCTGTTCTATAACTCAGACTGTACCAGTTCAGTAGAAGTAGGGCTGTTCTATAACTCAGACTGTACCAGTTCAGTAGAAGTAGGGCTGTTCTATAACTCAGACTGTACCAGTTCAGTAGAAGTGTTCTATAACTCAGACTGGTTCTGTTCTATAACTCAGACTGTACCAGTTCAGTAGAAGTAAGGCTGTTCTATAACTCAGACTGTACCAGTTCAGTAGAAGTAGGGCTGTTCTATAACTCAGACTGTACCAGTTCAGTAGAAGTAGGGCTGTTCTATAACTCAGACTGTACCAGTTCAGTAGAACTAGGGCTGTTCTATAACTCAGACTGTACAAGTTCAGTAGAAGTAGGGCTGTTCTATAACTCAGACTGTACCAGTTCAGTAGAAGTAGGGCTGTTCTATAACTCAGACTGTACCAGTTCAGTAGAAGTAGGGCTGTTCTATAACTCAGACTGTACCAGTTCAGTAGAAGTAGGGCTGTTCTATAACTCAGACTGTACCAGTTCAGTAGAAGTATGGCTGTTCTATAACTCAGACTGTACAAGTTCAGTAGAAGTAGGGCTGTTCTATACCTCAGACTGTACCAGTTCAGTAGAAGTAGGCTGTTCTATAACTCAGACTGTACCAGTTCAGTAGAAGTAAGCTGTTCTATAACTCAGACTGTACCAGTTCAGTAGAAGTAGGGCTGTTCTATAACAGTTCAGTTCAGTAGAAGTAGGCTGTTCTATAACTCAGACTGTACCAGTTCAATAGAAGTAGGCTGTTCTATAACTCAGACTGTACCAGTTCAGTAGAAGTAGGGCTGTTCTATAACTCAGACTGTACCAGTTCAGTAGAAGTAGGGCTGTTCTATAACTCAGACTGTACCAGTTCAGTAGGAGTAGGGCTGTTCTATAACTCAGACTGTACCAGTTCAGTAGAACTAGGGCTGTTCTATAACTCAGACTGTACCAGTTCAGTAGAAGTAGGGCTGTTCTATAACTCAGACTGTACCAGTTCAATAGAAGTAGGCTGTTCTATAACTCAGACTGTACCAGTTCAGTAGAAGTAGGGCTGTTCTATAACTCAGACTGTACCAGTTCAGTAGAAGTAGGCTGTTCTATAACTCAGACTGTACCAGTTCAGTAGAACTAGGGCTGTTCTATACCTCAGACTGTACCAGTTCAGTAGAAGTAGGGCTATTCTATAACTCAGACTGTACCAGTTCAGTAGAAGTAAGGCTGTTCTATAACTCAGACTGTACCAGTTCAGTAGAACTAGGGCTGTTCTATAACTCAGACTGTACCAGTTCAGTAGAAGTAGGGCTGTTCTATAACTCAGACTGTACCAGTTCAGTAGAAGTAGGCTGTTCTATAACTCAGACTGTACCAGTTCAGTAGAAGTAGGCTGTTCTATAACTCAGACTGTACCAGTTCAGTAGAACTAGGGCTGTTCTATAACTCAGACTGTACCAGTTCAGTAGAAGTAGGCTGTTCTATAACTCAGACTGTACCAGTTCAGTAGAAGTAGGCTGTTCTATAACTCAGACTGTACCAGTTCAGTAGAAGTAGGCTGTTCTATAACTCAGACTGTACCAGTTCAGTAGAAGTAGGGCTGTTCTATAACTCACACTGTACCAGTTCAGTAGAACTAGGGCTGTTCTATAACTCAGACTGTACCAGTTCAGTAGAAGTAGGCTGTTCTATAACTCAGACTGTACCAGTTCAGTAGAACTAGGGCTGTTCTATAACTCAGACTGTACCAGTTCAGTAGGAGTACTATCAGTGTAATCCTTGTATAGTTGATTTTTATTGGTCAACTGGTTTTTACAAGGTTTGTAAAATGTGTTTACAAGGATGCTCTCCAACCTATAGAGAACAAGTTTAATCAATCGGAAATGACAGGGCGCTATTTTATCAACAACATATCCGACAAAATATTTCTCGGTAATAACAAGTCAGAACACATGTTTACAGGAAATAAAACTGAAGTACTTCTGGCAAAGTCTAATTGTTACATATATAATGCCATCAGGCCTTTCAATATGTATTCTGATCTTATAACATGTCATGTTGCCATGTCATAAATATAACAAGACACAGATGTAATAACACTATTATGATATCATAAACAAAAGACCCATGGATCTTAACTGTCATCTGACTACATAGACCTACATACAAAAGAGGCCAAATTGCTCACCTGCTGTACAGCTTATAAAAAAGATTGTGTCAGTTCATCAAGTCAATTTCTGCAAACTTGAAATCCTATTCCATTATGTCATTACAAAAATACCATATCCCAGAAATAATGCTAGTTGAAAGAAAAAAATCTGGTAGGCCTTCATTCAATTTTGTTCCAGAGAAGAAGCTTTTCATTACATCTGACCATGCATGACAGCAGATGATGATGATGATGACGACGACGACGATTGATGATGATGATGATGATGATGATGATGATGATGATGATGTTTTGATCAGACAGAAAAATAAAAACAAATCATTTCTTTCTTTTCCTTCAAAAATCAAACTCTAAATACTTTTCTCATTTGTGTGAATGAAACATGAAAATAAGTTCAGACTATCTATTCTAGATGAGTTATGTTGGATTTTGGACCAAAGCGTAAAAATGAGAGTTGGTCAGGACAATCTCAGGATCACTTCATGCATGTTTGATATCATTGCCACTCCCTGATACTGTTTCAGGCCAAATTTGGTTGAAATCTACCAAGGCACTAAAAAGGAGTCATTTGCAGCAAAATATTACTTCCTCCTTTGGAGCCCTGCCCATTTGTCCCTAAAGAGTCAAATCAACTTTCTGGATTTAAGAACTGTTTGCCAGTCACTACTGATGTTACAGACAAAATTTAATGAAATACATTCAAGAATTAAGGAAGAGTAGCATTTTGAAGCAAAATATTGTCTAATTTCCTATTTTGGGGCCCTTCCCACCCAAGTCCTTCGGTGTTGAATCAAATTTTGGAATTTTAGAATTATTTGCCAGCCCCTACTGTTACACACAAAATTTGAATGAAATCCAGTCATGCATTAAGGAAGAGAAACCTTTTGAAGCAAAGTATTGCTTAACTACCCTTTTGGGGCCATCCCAATGTCCCTAGGGGTTGCATCAAATTTCGGAATTTAAGAAATGATTCTCCTCCCCAGTGATGTTTCAGACAAGATTTGACTGAAATCCGCCAAGGCCTTAAGCAGGAGTAGTGTTTTAAAGGAAAAGTTTACAGACAGTAAACAGGCCACTGCAACAGACGATGCACCATTGCAATAGGTCATCTTGACCCCTTCTGTCAGATGTCCTAAAAGCATATTACCAGCATCAAAATAAATGTTTTATTGGGAAATTACTGAGTTTTTCTTCTTTTTCAGAAATACATAATACATCATAAATAAAATGGTCATAACATGAGCCAGTATGTGAACAGTCCTTTGGAGAAGGTAACTTCAAAATCGGCCTTGGTATTTAAAATGAGTAATGTTTAAAAGAAGAAGTTTACAGACGACAGGCAGACGACTGATGCTGTGCTGAGTATAAAAGCTTTTCTTAAATTGTTTTTACATAATACCAGCCAGTATAAACCTTGACATCAAAGGTGGCCATAAAATTGATTTGACACATTGGATATGGCTTGGCACTGCTGTTTTTCTTATCATCGTCATATGACAGAGCCAGGACAATCAAATACAAAGTCAACCTTTTAGAATGGCTGCTAGACCTGGCCAGACAATCATACAGACACAGAACAATATAATCAGCTGATCCAGTGAGATATGTGTAATAATGGCTGTAGCACACACTGGATCTACAAAAGATATGATTAAGCAAATAGATTGTCATCTTTTCAATACACACTGTCCTAATTAATATCCACATCAACAGATTTTCTTCAGTCGAAGTTTTCTTACCATAAAATTAAATAAATCCATTAATTAAGGGATTATGATCAATCAGAGAGACAGTGTCAAAATAGATACACAGAGTCAGAAGGGAGTCAATAGATACTGCGAGTCAGTAGGGAGTCAATAGATACTGAGAGTCAGTAGGGAGTCAATAGATACTGAGAGTCAGTAGGGAGTCAATAGATACTGAGAGTCAGTAGTGTGTCCATAGACAAAGAGTCAATAAGGAACCAATAGACACAGGGAGTCAGAAGAGAGTCAGTAGACAAGAGGAACCAGCAGGGAATCAATAGATACACGGAGTCACAAGAGAGTCAATAAACAAGAGAAAGGGGAGTCAATAAATAGACACACGGAGTCAGTAATAAATCAATGGACAAAGGGAGTCAATAAGAAATCAATAGACACAAAGAGTCAGTAAGGAGTCAATAGACATAGGGAATCAATAGGAGTCAATCAACAAAGCAAGTCAGTAGGGAGTAGATTGACACCGGGAGTCAGTAGGGCATCAGTAGGTAGTCAATAGATACTGCGAGTCAGTAGGGAGTCAATAGGTAATCAATAGATACTGTGAGTCAGTAGGGAGTAAATTGACACTGGGAGTCAGTAGGGAGTCAACAGAAACTTTGAGATAGTATAGAATCAATAGACATGGGAGTCAGTATGGAGTCAATAGTTTAAGGAGGTGAGTAAGGAGTCAACAGAAACTCGGAGACAGTATAGAATCAATAGACATGGGAGTCAGTATGGAGTCAATAGTTTAAGGAGGTCAGTAGGGAGTCAACAGACATTGGGAGTCAGTAGACAGAGGGAGTCAGTAGACAGAGGGAGTAAAAAAAAAAGAAGTCAGTAGAAACAGGGAGACATTAGATATCAGTCAGTAGACCAAGGGAGACAGTAGATGTAGGGAGTCAGTAGAAACAGGGAAATAGTAGACACAGGGAGTCAGTAGACACAGGGAGAAATATAAAACAATATTAAATACTGACCATTAATTCACATTGTGATACAGTAATGTCTCCCTATCTTACCTGCAGTAACAATGAGCCATCCTGTATTGTGATACGTATACAGAACTTTTGGCCAGCATCCCACCGTGATATGATGTGAACATCTTCAATACTGGAATATGGGATAGCTGTCTCCATCATACCGACAGGCTGTCAAAATAAAGTAAACATGTACTATAATTTTAGAATATAAAGCATTAATTCATTGACAAATTGGCACAGAGAAACAAATAATCAAACATTTTTACTTCAATTAAGGAAATCATGCCGCAAGATTTAATGATTAAAAGTAATCAAATTATCCACTACAATATAGAGGCAAAATATTATCATACCACTGTTGTTTTCATGGTAAAGAAATTAATTCAATTAATTTTGAGAAAGAAAATAAAAATTAATCAATTTTGCAAACTGCACGTACAGGATATCTATCAATATTAATTTCATCATCAGTACGGATGATAAAACAATGGGATATTATCTATAGGTTGTAAACGTATTCCAGGTTAGTCACCGGATGAATTATCCCACTATCCATCATATAGCCCCTGGGATTTTTGTTAACTGACTTTAATTGTCTGTTTTTATTTTCAATTTTTGTTCTAGTTTTTTTCCCCCATGAAATTGTTCATGTCGAAAATCTTAATTACTGTATTTGTTTTTTTTATTTTTTTTATTTTTTGCCATCCTCTGGTCATACATAGAGTAATAAAGTCATATTTGCATAAAACAAGAACCATGTAAATAATTTTTAAGTTCAGTAGATTTGGTAAAACATAACAAATACTGAATGCCTCTTCAGGCAATATAAAGATAACAGAATGGTCATTCACCCCACCTAATTTATGGGGTGACTGACCCTATCATAAACTCCCATACTGCCCTCAGTGTCACGCAATATTTTTCAATTATCCTGCAGTAAACCAGGGGAGTTAATTTTTACTGCAAGTCAGGAGGTGGGCTTATTTGCGGACAGTGACATATCATTTGTCTATAATTTTACCCAAGGATTTTTCTGGGTAAATTGGGAAAATGCCTGTGGGTGAAATTGGGAAAAAATTCACATATTCGCAAAATATTTCTATCATATTGACTTAATTTTTCATTATAATTGCTTTTATTGAACTATAAAGGCAGGATCCTGATTTTTTTGTCATTAAAAATATTAATCAGAGTGTAAAGGGTCTGAAGGGCCAAACATTTCCCTTCACAGATCTTTCAGCAAACTGAAGTCTCTTTTTTAAGTTGTAATGACATTCATCAATTCGGTTAGTGAAGATACTCTCGTAAAACATCTGTTGATAGCCCTGTTGTCTAATATGTCAGTTTGAACTGAAACACTTGGTTTCAGTTTGCAAGACATTTAAAGAAAATATCAAGTAATCTGCTGTTTTATATATATAAATATATACATCATCACCAGACTTGGGAATATATTCTGAAATCAGAAAGTTTGAAGGCTAAATCTCATTGGGAATGGGGCTGTATATCAGTCCCTCAGATACCCCAGAAAAGGCCCTGTTACTTCACAATAATACATATGGGATGGTTTATTACCAGGTAATGATTCATTGACAGATAAATGTAGCATATATATGACAACCATTTAAGTGTTTACATATTTACTGTAATTATACAATCTAATAATAAGACTCATATTGACAAGGGAGGTAACTCTGAACTAGAACAACTTCCTTTGTTCATTTATTTTCTCTGCACATGTCAGAATGTTTCATGACAAAAAATCAAGCTCTGGCAAATATTGAAAGTGTTTTTGTTATATTTACAACTTAATATCATTGTTAATATTAATGTTCTCACTACTGACTTTCCTTGTTATCAGAGAAGAATGTGAATGAAAACACTGTCAGTATGCAACATACTAAATATAAAAAAGCAAGAATATTATAAAACAACAGTGCTTTAAATGAATACTTTTAAAAGCAAAAGATTGATTTCAACCTTATATCATGCCTAGGATTTTGCAAAATATGACATAGAGAATTTAGCCTGAAAAAAGGAAGTCTAATGAATGGCCGAGAACTTGCATCAACAAATTTTGAGTACATGAACTCAGTGCCATTGCTCCAAAATAATGCTTTAGTGCCGTAAACTCAATTTGTCATCTCTAGGGATTAATTTGAGATTGGAATGTTTTAATACACACGGAACAGGCGATGATGACTACCAGTGATCACCATAGTGTGCATAGAGATCGTTCATGCACCGAGTGTACCAGACATTACTTAAACTTTACGATTAAAATTACCTTAAATTCTCCATATTTTTCCATATGTCAATAATCAGAACTATCATTGTAAAATTCTCATGTTTTCTTAGGACTGGCTTTATTTCTCAGTCATTACAAGTGAATACCTATTTTAAAAAATTTAATTTAAATTGCTAAAAGATGTAGCAAATCATTAAAAGTCAATAAAGTATAACTGCACGGTCAATTTCAAGGGGCATTAACAAGATCAGGAAAATTGTATCCATGAAAATAATAACACATGTTTAAATATGATCTAAGATACGAAAAAAATTTGTAAAAATTTCAAATTTCTTATCATGAAGAGAAAAAACAGGAGAGAAGAGAAAGGAAGGGAAAAGATCCAATGTTTAAAGAACAAATAAAGATCAAACAATGGTGGACTCCAAGATCCCTCATGGATCTCTTGTTATAAAATCACTTAGTACTAAAATCCATGTCAATTTTTAACATGGACTTATAAATTCATGGATTATCAATAACCACAAAATCAACAAAAATAAAACCTCCATGAAAAATGGAAATCTTACTAAGAAGCTGTTTTCCATGATGCTGATGGTAGTTTTGGTGAACAGCAGGTAACTGTAACAAGTGTTACCTATTTTCGACAATTCTCGTCAGATGACCTAATAAAAGCAACCAATCAAATACATCCTATGAAAAGTGAAATTGCTCTAGTCTTACTTCGATAATACAAACAACAATGGCGGCAGCTACTTTAAGTTAAATTAAGTACTTCATAAAAGAAGTCTAGCTTCTGAAATATTTTTGAACTGGACACTTGACATACAATTTGATATTTGTACACTTATATATGTAACTGGAAGATGTCACCTGAGTGTGATTTAAATACATGCAAACAGCATTTCATTTGATACAAGTCTTATTTGACCTGAATTTGAAAAGACAGATATAACTTGATGTGAAATTTGCTGGTCTTGTTCCACTTTCACAGTGAGCAAAAGTTCAGTCTGTTGTTTTTTTTCATGCCATGTTTTCCTTGTAGATAATCTATTTCTGATCATTTTGGTATCAGTAATTGAACAGTATTTGGCCAAATACTGACAACATTTCTGTGGGTGAATTTCTCTCCAGTATTTTGTTTGTCCCCTTTAACAGTTATAGTATACCATACAAGTGCTCGTAACCCAAAAACATTGTTACAGGCCCCTGTGCTTGGGATACACAGTAAAAGTCACTTGATGAATATTCCTGTAGCAGTGAAGTGGTTATGGGTTCCTGTACTGGTGTTTTCATAAGGACATAAAAACTGTGACTTTCACCAGAACACAACTCTATCATGATAAAAGCTTCCCTGATGTGTATCCAGACATACAATGAACTAAGATTGCCAAACTGCTATGATCTTTCAATACAATAAATCTGTGTATTGTTGATTGTTTTCATACAGTTTTTATCTGTGTATTATTTTCAATATGGTTCATCTGTATAGTTTTTAAACTGTTTATCTGTGTATAGTGTAACACTGTTTATCTGTGTATAGTTTTTAACACTGTTTATCTGTGTATAATTTTGACACTGCTTATCTGTGTAGTTTTTAACACTGTTTATCTGTGTATTGTTTTTGATAAAGTTTATCTTTGTAAGGTTTTTAATACTGTTTATCTATGTTTAGCTTTTAATTAAGTGTATCTGTTTATTTCTTAAAACAGTTTTTTATATGGTTTCTGTAACCACATGACTGCACTTAAGGAAATATTCATTCACACAGAGGACCGTATATGTTTGGAAGTTTTCCATTTAATGTTGTAAATGCAATGACAATTAAACCATTTGAATATCATCTAGATGAACATTAGAAAAACCAGCCACAGAAGTATTGTTTTAAAGAAAAAATTCAGCTGTGAACTTTATTTTAGTATAAATCGTATAAAGAGCTGGCTATCAAAGGATTGTTAATCCTGTATATATTTTCTGTACCTTGTCAGAATAAATTTATGTATCTATGTAAGGATGAGCTTTCTTTCTGTTTCTGATATCAACTAGATGTTTCTGCCTGTAATGTCCAATGACAGCAATGATACATTACGTATAAACAAGAACATTGACAAAATCAATATCTCCATATTAGGCCAGTAGGTGTACTATGCTGACAAGATTTAATATATCTCTTATAACATGTGATTAGCTGAACAAGAATTTTAAATTTCACAGATGACATAGGTTCTTATAAAAATAATTCCACATCGAAAGGAAAAAAAAGAGATGCTTCATGCCCACAGATTTCTTTGTAAAATTAATTTTTTTTCCATTTCTGTTCTTTTCTCAGAAGGGCCATGATTGCAATAGCTAAGTCCTACTTGTGATGGTGGTTTGTGTATCTCAGGAAGCTGAAGGTCTGAGAAGTTATTATGATGGTGTCTATAGGCAAGACACTTTACCCCTTCTGCTCTGCATTGCATGTGATGGGACTCCTGTATGCTGTTCAGTAAGATAGCCACCACCTACTCTAAGGAGACCAAGTCTCAAAATGATTGTGGCTGTTTACAGGTCAATAAACCCAGTAAACAATTAAGAAAAGCAAGTTTTTCTTCAATGAATCAGTTGACTGACATGGCAGAAACGATTGACTCAGTTTTGTAGAAAATTCATTACAAAATGAGTTTTGTCATTCCGTCCAATAATTTATCACCAGAATGTGTAGGGCACAACAACTGATATTATTTAGTCAATGAATGCCATGGTCACATACCAATAACTGCAAAATGTTTGTTTAAATTACTTATTTTCCAGTTATTTTTTAATAAAAAAAGTATTGTAAGATATAAAGTGTCTGATGAAATGAATCATTACAAAATATACCAGTAAAGCAAATATAGTACAGTCTAACCTGTCATAACAGCCACCTTAGTTAGACAGC